CATAAATCATTTCTTGGGTAAAAACTCTGGACTCATATATTTTGTTTGAAAAACCCTTTCTTGAAGAAAAACAAAAAAAAAAAAGGTTTTAGAAACCTTTTTGGGAACTCATATATTTTTGTTCCATAAACCATTTTTGGATAACTCGAATATTTTGTGTTTCATAACCCGTTTATGGGACTCACAAAATATCTCTGAGAAATAATTTCTTGGGGTCAGAAATTTTATTTTCAACAAAATATTTGTGAATTTTGTTAGAAATTTTATTTTCTAAAAAATTATTTGTGATTTTTTTTCTAGATAGTCTTTGATAAAGTGCGAAGTGTTCACAAGCGCTGCTACTTTGATTTGCCAAAAGCGAGATCCATTCTGCTGGGTCAATAGTCTTCGTGTTTGGTGTAGTAGTGTTGTGTGTATGATGTGTTGTTCAAATATTTGCGGTTACCGTGTGCGATAGTTTGATCATATCCCCACGAGGAGCTCATGAACGACTATTATGTTAAATCTGGCCAGTGGAATTTATTCCAACATATTAATAATGATTTGAGTGGTACTAGCCTCGATTTTAGATGCCGATTAATTTAATTGTCAATAATTAAATTTATTGATGAACATATATCTTAAACGCATGGAGATAAATCGAACAATTATTATTAAAATCTCGAATATAATTCGGGAATTAAATTAGAAGTTTTTCAATATTACTACTTTAGTGGAATGAATGTATTCGCATATGAGTGGAGTGGGTTTGGCCCACAGTTAAGCCCATATACGAGAATTCCAATTTAATGCCTCCTTAGGGTCCATATTATAGCCTATAAATACATCACATTTCTTGGGATTATGAGATATAAGACTTGGACGAGATTGAGAGTAGTATACAGCTAAACCGCCGCCCCTCATCCTCTCTCTTCTCATCTCTTCTTTTTTTCTTCTCCAGTTAATTATAGTAGAGATATCTCCGATTTCATCGCCCACAAAGATGATCGGAGAAATGTCGGGTCATACAATAGAAGTTCCAAGGTAATTCATGGCGAATATATATATATATATA